CCGGGGCACGAACCCGTGTCCCCTGCATCGGCAGGCGGACTCTCAACCACTGCGCCACCAGGGAAGCCCAGGGCTTAACTTTTTAATGAAAGAATAAATGTTCTTCCACTTGGTAGATAAAGTGAAATGTGAATTGTTAATAACTGCACAGTCAATAAAAGGATGTTTTAACAAATACATCTGCATGAAGTCTATCTCAGAGAAATTTAATAATACCTGTTTAAAATTAGAGCTCACTTTTTTTGGATAGAAGAGAATAATTATCCTAGCCAAAGACACTTCATTTGAGAAAAACAAAAGACTTAAACCCCAAAATGTATATAAGAATCTCAACGTGCTTTACAGGTAGTCAGTAAACTGATTTGTAATATTTGAGTACTGCCTATGATAGTTTTTCAGTTATCATCAACTGAGTTAATTCAGCTATTTTTAAGACAGTGGTTCTATCAAGTTTTAATATCTTGGGGAAAATTCACATCTGACCATAACTGAACAGATATGTCATCTAAAGAAAAAATATTCTTTACCATTTTATGTAAAGTATTAGAAATGTAGTTGTATACTTTTATTTGTATTTAGTCAGGTTCAGCCAATAGAGGAATGGATTCATTTAAAAACAAAACTGCCTTTTCCTCTTAAAATCGCATCATTGCAATTTCATCTGTAATGAAATTCTTTTGAGAACTATTTCAATGAATTTGGATAGTGCGATTCACTTAGCTAGATTTTAATTTTATCAGTACGAGTTAGTCTTAGAAATTAGAGAATTTTAAAGCTAGCCAACCTTAGACATTGTTTAGTCCCACCCCCCTCATTTTATACCTGAAGAGGACTCTGACATTCAGAGAGTTTCAGGAAGTTAGCTAAGGTCACACAGTCAGATATCAGACCAGGTCTTGGCACCCATCCCACATTTCTTGTACTACCTGGGTTCCCTGTGGGGGCCTCGTATTATCTCACGTAAAGCATTCTTAACCATTGTGGATCCAACACAAATTAAGAAACAACTTTAAAAGCCCTCCAAAGTAACAATAGGAAAAAAAAATCTTACAATTGAATGCCATTGTTTCTAATTTATAAATTTTTGGAACACATCTTATTTGATTTTGTAAATATTCATTGAGCCCTGTGGTAGGCAAAATTCTAGGGTGACCCCAATGAACCATTACCCTTGTATTCCCTCCCCTTTGAATATGGGTGGAACTTATGGATATGATGAAATATCCCTGCTGTGATTATGTTACAGTATGGGGCAAAAGGAAGATTATCTGGGTGGGCCTGGTCTAATCAGGTGAGCCCTTTAAAAGCAGAGTGTTCTCTCTCGCTGGTTGCAGAAGATGAAATCAAAGAGATGTGCTCCAACTAGCCTGGAAGGAAGCAAACATGCTTCCTTCCATGTTGTGAACTGCCAACAAGCCAAGAAACTGTGGGCAACCTCTAGGAGCTGAGAGTAGTTCTTGGCCAACAGCCAGCAGGAAAATGGAGACATCAGTCCTACAGCTTCAAGGAGATGAATCCTGTCAACAATTAGTGATCCTAGAAGAGAACCATGAAACCCAGGTGAGAATCACAGCCCTGGCTTACATCTTGGGTTCAACACAGTGGGAATTTGATCAGAGAATCCAGCCACACCACGCCTAGACGTCTGATCTGCAGACTCTGTGAGATAATAAATGTGTGTTATTTCAAGCTGCTAAGTTTATGGTAATTTTTTACACAGCAGTAGAAAACTAATAGAAGTCCCTACAACACTGAAGGTGGTGGGAGTATAAAAAGGAATAAGGCACAGTCTTTGTCTTAGAGACACTCACTGTCGAGGGCAGCGGAGAGAGGAAAGTTAATAAAGCACTACAACATAGTGCTGTGAGAGCTGGAGCTGAGACATGTAAAAAATGATACAGCAGCCAGATGAGGAAAGTGGCAGGAAGGCATTATAGAAAATTAGACTTAAATTAGGTGAAAAATAAAAGAGTGTGGAAGCGAATGGCACATTTAGAAAATGTCGGGTGGCTTTGTTTAGCTGGAGTGAAGGCGAGGGGATTGAAGAACATGAGACTGATAAGAAAGATTGGGGTTCACATTGTGAAGGACCTCAGGTAAGGTGGTTTTTTCCCCTGCAGCAGTGTCCTCCCTTATTATCTGCCCTCATCCAGAGTCAGCCCTTCTGTCTCCTGATTCCTCAGAGGTATCTGGCCTCTCTATTCCAGACTTTCTCAGTCTTTCTAGTCCTCAAGCCTGCTAAGCTCAGAAGTCCCCCGAGTAGCCCTTCAGGACATTCACATCTTCAATACAACCAGGGGTGAGAGGGCCATAGACAAGATCGCCCTCTCATGTATCTTGGCACTGTGTGTTCCTTTCTTCCTGCTCCAGACAGCTTGAAAGCTACATGGGCCGGGTCCTAGGGTTGTTGATCACAGAGTTTCAGGGTCTGCTGAGCTAAGAAGGAGAGAATCCATTGGTTCCCTTCAGAAATCAGGGCTGGCCAGAGACGCTGTAGGTTTTTTTTTTTTTTGGAGCAATTCTTGCTTGAGTATAGCCATGTGGTCATAGGTGTGTAGGATGTACACAGACTTCATCCAAACAACACATTTCTGACATTAGAATTTCAAACAAGCAAACAAAAATCCACCACAAACTTAACAGGGTGTTAAAACTAAAGTGTTGGCTGAGGCACCAAGACACACAAGGTGCTACATTCCATAGGAAATACTAGATCACATAAGGACTGTTGGATATTTGAAGGATTTTTTAAGAGAAAAATGTTCTCTCACCTCCCACCAAAGTAAAAGCTTGAGGTCATGTAATGTCAAGAAAAAGGGACATGAATGGAACTCATCAGAAAGCCTAATGTATGTCTCTGGGTAGGAAGAACATGGTGGTTTAGCTCCCTTCTGGAAAATCATGTGAAAGAAGAGCTTGCCAGCACTTCTGGTGCAGAGCGAAGGAGGGAGGCTGCTGCCCTGAGTTTGTCCAAGGAAGAAGGGAAGAAAGGGAGTGTGTGTGTGTATCTTCATGGATTGATGTGTGCCAGACGGGAGAGAGGGCTGGCTGGGGAGAGCCTTGGGTGCGGGCAGGCCTCAGAAGAGGCGAAGCAGAGCAAGACGGGCTCCTCGGGGTTGAGGAAGTAGGCGGCTGCTCAAATGGACAGTGCATTTGCCTGAATCAAGGAAATGGCAAGTGAGACAACACCAGCTATGAGTGCAATCTCCCAAGAACCTGCAAAAGTCTCTGTGAAATGTGGTCTGCTTTAAATATTTCTCAGACCCAGAAAGCTGGAGGCCATCTTACAACTTCATCACTCAAGGGACCACACTCCTGACCCTCCCTGCTTCTCCCACCTTGCCCCACCCCAGCCCCAGAAGGATCTTGCTCCTGCCAGGAGCAAGAAGAGAAGAGCTTCCCCTTCCACAGCTGCCCACCTGCAAGTGGCTTCTCACTGGGATAAGGGTAAGACTTAATTTTCAACCAAGTTCCACATTATATAACACAGGAATAGATGCACTAAACAGTATTTAGAGTGACCAAGGACTTTCTGTTGCCTAAGAATGCTCAAAACAGTCCTAACACTACCTAGTTTTTATTTTATCCTAGACAGAGTGAGAAACTCCCCAGTGAATACATTTTATAGGGATAGTGGGAGACATAAATAAAAATGCTTCCTAATTGTATTCCATATTCAGAGCATTGATTACATGTGCCTAATGTTTTTTACCTAAAGATCTTCAATGAATTTAATTATTCTTATTTGAGAGAGGAATGTGGTCATGTGACTAAGAATCCTGGAGACTTTCAGTAATCCATCTGGTCCCAACAGCTGGCAAATGGAAAGGCAGCTATCTAGAAACATGTCATCTAAAAAGGTGGTTTGATTATCCCACTGTTGATAAGCATCAGACAATGTTATGTCACTTATTATAGTCATTTTCCTATGATATTTGTAGCAGCAATTACTTTTCCTTTCTAAAATTATGTTTAGGGATTGATTTGTTTTTAAATAAAGACTGATTTTGACACAAGAAGCTCATAATATTCTCCCAGTCCCAAAGGAAATAGTGATATAACCTCTTTTTTTCCTAAGCTAATGCTTTAAAAAGAAGTGGAATTAACATTGAGTTTGGGACTGCATATTGCTGCTCTTGATTACAGTGCTGCTTTCTTCCAGATGTCTCATCATAACATCATAAGGGCTTACCGGAACACATAACTCTTTGGCCAATTTATTGAAGGAAGCCGGGGTTCACTCAGATGAGGGTTATTTTGTTTGTTTGCTTATAATAATGCAGAGACTCATAGAAACCTGACAATAGGGATCACAGTAGGGCCAGGCCTCAGGAAATACTCTTAGAGAGCCACAGAAGGGATGCAGTGTACAACGCAATAAATATAATGAACACTGCT